GAGAGGAGAAGCTACGGAGAGCAGATATATGTTTAGAAGGTAAGTTAAGGCAGCAAACTCTCCCGAAATTGTAATAAACATCCCAGCCCTCTACATCTCACAACTAATAGTAACGTTACTGTGAGCCCAATAACGTTATATAAACATAATATAAACGTATCCACCCGCCTGGCAACCGTGGTCGCGTCTCACTTTCAGCGGTGAGTGATGCTGTGCAAGTGCAACTCCTGTGGCCTGTCCCGTCATGCAGTGCGCCCACTCACAAAGCAGCCACTTTTTTCCACAGTCGAATATTAATTTTCACAATCAAATCTCTGTTATCTGAAAATCTGTTTAATAAACAAATGCTTAAAGGCATTTAAACAAATTTAAGTGTTCGAATATCGGCTCCAAATATCGGTTATCGGCCTCCTTGACTACTAATAATCGGGATCGGCCCTGAAAAAAATGGTCTATCACTACTATGTATTATCTCTGCTTATGCATGCTTACATAACCACACTATTATTTGTGCTTATGCATATCATGTGTGACAAGATGACCATACCAGGTTTGACCTGACAAGATTTCCATTGGTGACCTGCCTCATGGCAGATTTATCATGAGAGATCCAGACATCAGAGCCACTGGGAATCACTGTGCTGTCTCCCAATCTTCTGGGGGTTTACTTCATACTCCATTCTTACACATGCACACCTCATCTTTACACACACACATCGGCTTCATACACACGTAAATCACCTCTTTCTGTGTAAAAGAGCTCGCCCGTAAATGTTTCTTTGTCTTTACTATCTTAACATCCGCATGGTGTAAGACTTGTTTGACCTTCTATGCTGAAGAATAAACGTGCACTTAGAAGACCATTATGGTCAGTTTTCTTTATTTCAGAAGTCTCGCAAAGTCAAATTTCCTCCACTACAGCAGATCCAAAATGATTCAGCACAAGTTCTGGCAGGAACTTGAAGATGAGCTATTACCCCTTTCTTAGCTTCTCCGCATTAGTTTTCTGCAAAATTCTGAATAGAATTCAAAATCCTGTTCCTTAAATACAACTGAACAAGGCCCATCATAAGAGTTCACAGCCCCCTATTATCCCAATAGATCACTTTGCTCCCTCAAGGCTCACTTTTAATTCCTTGAGTCTGCAAGGGTAGAATGGGAGGTAGTACCTGCACCAGCACCCAGTTTGTGTTTGTAAGGCATCATCTCTACATTTAAAGGTTCAGTGTGTAGAATTTAGTGATATCTACAGGTGAAGTTTCATGTTGCGGTTGAATACTCATCACCTCACCCTCCCCTTCCCAACATGAAAGAGAACATGTGGTGAACTTCAGTTGTCCAGTTTGGACAACAGTAAAAAACATGGCAGCCTCCACAGAGAGGACTCTCATCATGTACATATAAAGTTTTCAAATATAAAATGGTAAATTCTATGGTAAAGAAAACAACAATTCATACAATTAAGAAACACCCCAGTAAAAACTAGTATTATTTTATATTGAATTTCTGCCTTTAAATGTTCCTCTTTGATAAAGCTTATATTTATGGCAGGACCATCCCTTAGTTATACTGCTATAGGTCTGGACTATTGGGGGAACTCATAATGCATACCACCCCCACCCCCTCTTATTCTGTAGGTTTCTGACTCCATAGTCATAGG